GCCCTTGCTCCACATGCAGCCTGGTCAAGACGAAGGTCCCTTAGAAGAGTATTTCTATACTAATCGTATACATGATGATGTGAATGCCGTGGGTGAGGAGGATGCATCATCAGGTGAGGGTTCGGACACCGATGAGGATGATGGGCCTGCCAGGCCCATGATCCTCAGTGAGGACGCGAACTCCCGCCAGCTAGTGGCAGAGGTATACTTTTAGTTCGTCCACAAAACCGTTACATCACGTAAGAATCTGCTTCATCAGGCGGGGGTCACGTTCAGCGGACATCAGTACCTGCCCTACGTGCCGGGCTGAGAGCTCCGGCAAACCACTGTCTTGTCCGATCACCGTGGTGACGTGGGACCAGCCTATTGAATTGGAGGTTCCCGTTCACTAATGCGGAACCTGCCGGAAGCAGTTCAGCATCCGAACCACCGCAGTGGACTGCCTTCAGGACTCGAATGTTGTCTGGGACATCAGTGATCGACACGCCGGCAGCCCACCAGGGGCGGCAAGCAGCCAACCAAGGGGGCCGAGCAAGCAACAGGGGGTGGCCAGCGGGGGAACAGGGGCGGCCAGAGCCAACGCCTGGGAAGGGGCGCCAAGCTCGCGGCTTTGCTACAGAGACAGCGTGGGGGGTCTAACAGGAATCAGACCAAGTGAACTGAGGGTTAATCTAGGACTTCCTGTTTGGGGAGAGTGATGGGATACTGAATGGGTGCATACTGGATGATCCTGCTGCGTGTGTGTGCATGAAATGAGTGTTGATATGCCACAGGTACATCTCGCTGGTGAGTTGCCTGTTTATTTACAAGAAGCTGTGAACATTTCAAACAGCATGGTTGGGGAATGCATGACCTTGACTGACCACATGGCCTGGCCAGGGATCACACCTGAGGCTGAGTACGGCAATCATGAATGCAACTGGAATGCAGCCGTTCGGGCTGATTTTTTGCATACAGCCCCCAAATACCCTCACAAGGCCACGGCCCCAAGCGCGCGTCCAGATTCCGACATCGCCCAACCCAGGTTCCAGCGCCCGAGTGTCACCAGACCCCACCCGTGCAGCTGTCAGGCACCCTAGCGCCCCGGCCCAAAGTCAAGCGTTCGGGCTGACTTTTTTCGGACAGCCCCCAAATACCCTCACAAGGCCACGGCCCCAAGCGCGCGTCCAGATTCCGACATCGCCCAACCCAGGTTCCAGCGCCCGAGTGTCACCAGACCCCACCCGTGCAGCTGTCAGGCACCCTAGCGCCCCGGCCCAAAGTCAAGCGTTCGGGCTGACTTTTTTCGGACAGCCCCCAAATACCCTCACAAGGCCACGGCCCCAAGCGCGCGTCCAGATTCCGACATCGCCCAACCCAGGTTCCAGCGCCCGAGTGTCACCAGACCCCACCCGTGCAGCTGTCAGGCACCCTAGCGCCCCGATGATGCGACGTTCGGGCTGACTTTTTTACAGCCTCCGTCACTAGCTGGCGGGAGTTCGGGCCGTCAGGCCCATCATCCTTATCAATGTCCGAACCCTCACCCGATGATGCATCCTCCTCACCCACGGCATTCACATCATCATGTATACGATTAGTATAGAAATACTCTTCTAGGGATCTTCGTCTTGATCAGGCTGCATGTGGAGCAAGGGCACATGTTCTTTGGTGGCGGCGTTTTCCGCAGTTTCTTTCTGTGCCTTCGCTACTATTTCTGTCTTCTTAAGGGCAGGTTTTGTTTTCGATGGCTTCTGGGCTACGGGCAAGTAATTGTTGATACCGCTATACATGACAGCACAACTACGGCCCAGTATACTTGAATAACATTTCTTTATACTGGAGGACAGCACCGGGGTATGGATTACAGAGAAGGAACGGTTCGGGGAGTACGTTTTGAACCGTCGTTTATCATTACACCTAATAAGCTTGCAGCTTTTACAGCATCAGAACGTTTTGGAGCTGCTGAAAAAGTACCAAACAAAAATGCAAATTGTTGCGATTTTGACGGGGAGGGTTTACGTTCCCCGTGTGAGGCCTTGCGCCGTTCGTTTTGGGGTCCCCGTTCCATGACTCTCACGTGCACGGGGACCTCGCCATAGCTCTCTTTGTTGTTGTCGGGAAAAACAAACACAGCGACATTAATGTGCTTCTCCCCCTCCTGTCCCTCTTCCCTTTCCTCTTTCTTCTCTCCCTCCTCTCCCTCCTCTCCCGCGTCTCTCTCTGAAAGCTTTGCTCATTAATCTTGCGTAATCTTGCCCGTCTCTTCTTGCAGTTCTCGAATACATCGTTCTATATTTTATCAATAGTCCTTAACTTATTTCTCTTCTTTGCTTGCCGCTTCACGTTGCCATTTTTTCTGCCGCGGGCGTATGTCTGGTCGATTTGCGTCATGAGGACTTTTGTAACCGCTATGCTCGGCCACTACTTCTCACTGCACACCTTCCTGCAGAAGCCAGCTGGCTTCTGCGCTTTGCATGTTACCGTGTTTCCTCTCTTGCACCGCGCTTCAGCCCCGGCCGCAGCGCCACCTGTTAGGGTGTTCCTCCCGGATTTCGCAAAGAGAAATTGTGTCTCAGTCCGAGCATGCTCGTCCATTTCTCATCCAACATCTAGATTCTTGCCCACCTTTAGCTGAAGGAAACCAAACATCGCGACCTCAGTTCTTGAATACCTAGACGGTACTCGGGGGTTTGCAGGTTGGCTTGCATCTTTTGCCACTGTTGTAATACTGGTGGTTGCATGTCCTTCAGCAATGTGGCACTATCTTTTCTGGCCGTTGGCATCGTGTGCAGGTCAAGCAGTCCAGCTTGTTTCTGCTGTGAATAAGCGCTTGGGATCGAAGCCATCCGCAATTAGCCTGCACGCCCGCCGTCATGCGGGCGTTATCAGCGGTGCTGAAACCAAATCGTATGAACCTAATAGGCTAGCGCAACGCTGTGATCGTACAAGCGAGGAAACATTGCATTTTGTTAGAAGTGTTTTGATTGGTGAACAGCACACAAGCCGACGATTACGTGAGCCCGGCGGCCCCACATCCGTTCGGTCTTACCTGCCACGTAATTTGTCCAAAGGAGCTACAAGCAGAGTTATATTTACAGTATGTCAGGTTATTAAAATATGGCGACCCCAAACCCGTGTCATACAGCGTTTCCTGGGGTGCAAAATCCCAGTGGATCAAACCCTTCAAGGTATGTCATGCGTACATGTGAACATGCTTGCTTGCACTTATGCATTGGAGACAGTTCCCCACATGTAACTTTGTGCCCATGCAGGAGAAGCAACGCTGTGTATGTGTTTGCATCTGGTGTGTTATTATCACGTCTTTTTTGGAAAAGAACCGATCGGTGGACTCGGATCCCGTGAAACCCAGAATACTACAGTATACTACAGCCTCACGAGGACAACGGGTGGGTAACGGCACTAAGGGAGCGTTTGATGGATACTTCAAGGTGCGTCAAGTATGCGGGGGCTGGTATCGGCTGTCAAAGGAAGTGTGAGCTCCTGCCACGCCACCCAAGCATGAAAAGGCTTCACCGCCGTTCAGAAGATAATGTCAGGCCATTACCAGTTATGCTCACTGCTGACTCACTGTACGAGGCAGCACTGTCCAAGTCCCCAGACCAATGCCGCGCTCAGCATCCAGCCATGCCATGCTTGGACGGCGCCTGTACTGCGGTATCAGAAAACTGGACGGACCTGGGTTGTGAGGTGCAAGGCGAGGCACGCATTTCAGCACCTTTGGTAGACCTACATCATCGCGATGATGTATAGAATACGATCGTATTCTCTTTCCTGTGGAAGCGGGTTACAGCAGTCTCCCGCTATACACATGTGCTGTGTTGAAGCTACAATTATGTGATGCAACAGTTATGGAGTTCTGTAAACAGGGTTGGAGGAGAGTGGTCTTGCCATACCACAGCCGCCTAAATGAAGGGATTGACCTGCAAGCATGCAATGACATGAATTTTCGAGTGAATGAAGTACATGTTCGCCTCACTCCACTCTAACCATTCGGTGCAATCTAGCAATCCATGCCGGCGCAATCTGTTGTTGTAGAGCAATCATGGCCCGATTGCCCCGATGAGTACAACTCGTCTGTGCAGAATGCAAAAGACATGCATTGGGTCCAAAGTACAAGCCAAGACAGCGTGCACGTGTTCTCCACGTGACTGGTCGGCGTACCAGTTGCCCTTCCTCCAAAACATGCATGGCGACCAGATCATACGTACCAAGGGCGCAAAGCTGTTTCCTAACCTGGCCATTGGGGATGGAAAAACAGCAGCTCGAATTTCCATATGCTGAACGCTTCTGACCATTCTCGAAGTGCCCTTTGCAGGCTCATCAACCGACAGAGTGACAGGGCAAGAAGGCTCAAATTACCTTACTGGAGCGCTGGGGGTTACACGTCCGCCTTCAACATTGGGGCTGCCATGAACCGCCATGGCATCGGGGCGCACAACTCCCAGAGCATCCAGGTAGCGCCTGCGAATCCTTCAACAAAGAAACCGAATAGCTTGGGGCTCATTTTTGAACAGCCCTGCTTAACCTCTTGTGTGGGGGTGAATGCCTCTCCCCTCGCACCATTAACCTCAACCCGCATTGCCACTCACTCATAGCAGCATTTCAGGGAGTCCAGCGTGGGCCCTGTACTAGTAAAACCCCTCTTTCCTCACGGCGCATCCATAGCAGCTTCCGGTTGACCCAGCCAAATGCCACCTCGTTATCAATTTGAGGAAAACTTCTAGAATGCAGAATGAACCACCTTGGCCTTTCAGTTCTTATGGCGTAGTAGAGTGTGATTATGGTGTATGATGCCCTCTGGTGTTCACCGCTAGACCAGTATTCGAATGTGTGCAAATGGCCCAGAAGCCACCCACTCTGTAACACGAAGATTAGGAAGTATACTAAAAGACTAGGAAGTGCCTGAACAGGCAACAGACATCCTATAAGTGTTGTGCCTACACGCAGCAGAATTATCATACATTCGGACAGTAAAAAAATGCAGTAAAAAAATCCCTAACAAAGACAGTTCGTGTTTCTTGTCTGGTTAACGCACTTACTAACCGCCATTATTCCCTGCAGCTGCGTGCCTGCGTGGGTAAGGGTTCACTAAGACGGAGGAAACCCGGAAACCCTGGATAGACCCTACCCATTCCTAATTCAGTATGAGGCCATATTATGCTGAATACTCGGTTTGTGTGTGTGTGTGTGTGTGTGTGTGTGTGTGTGAGAGAGAGAGAGAGAGAGAGAGAGAGAGAGAGAGAGAGCGCGAGAGAGAGAGGTAGCGCCACCTACCCTCCCACCTTGCTGACCAACAGGCGAGTTTTTCAACAAGGAGGACTCCCGCTCATGTCCGGAGACCCGTCCACAAGAAGCGCTAGCTAGCTGGAGGGTCCGGGGCTGCCCGTGTGCGACACACACAAGACGAACATGCAATTGCACTGGCGCATTTGCCACATCCCACCTCCGATATGTATGTTCCTAGCCATATACCGCCGCTGCTTCCGTACAGCCCTCTCCCACCGCTACTTCCGCCGGTGCGCCATCCCTGTTCCCCAACATCGCCCCATTTGGAGTTAGCCTCGCGTACTATAATTCCGTCCTTCCAGCTGAACATCACTATCATCATCGAGGTTCACTGGCGCGATCCACAACAGCGTGTGCTGCTGCTGTACGCGTTGCGGATTATTATTGCGGCTTCGACATGCATACGCCTCATCCGAAAAAGCGCCTCATCCGCGAAAATTACCATGGAAAACTTTACGACGCAGCAACGCAGGTTCCGGACAATTCTGTAGAATGACACACGTAAAGGAGTGTAGCATGTCATCGGGGGCAATGTGTCCGTGCGTCAGTGAGTGACGGATGACTCGGCTTCCCTAAGCAGGGGAATATGTGCCTCCAGGTTTGCCTCACCCTCAGGAAAGCCCTTTCGACTGCACAGGTTTCCCACACGTACGGAAGCATTGGAACAATCAACCCGGGCGGTGGAGTGCACCGATACCGATCTGCAGTCGAGGCGGGGCACTCGTAGCTGTGTCATTCGCCCGGGGGAATTCGGGACAAGGGGCCAGACAGGGGGAATGCAGCTTAGGTATACAGAAACGCCAATGAGTCAGGTAGGGGTGAACGAGCTTGGCGGCAAGCACAACCCCCAGCAAGGCATTGAGAACCTCTTCAAAGTTCAACAAGGACGTCCGTTAATAAAAAGTGAGCTAGCTAGACTTCAGACTGGACGAATCGTGCGCAAACAATTGCCAGCCATATAACACATCGTAAAAGTAACCGCCGGACGTTACGTATGGCCTGGATGCTCAGGGTTGAAGCCGGGTTGCACGTGAGCTATTAGATGGATCCCCGGCTAAAACCACCGACAGCAGGCACAGCGGCGAGGAGAATGCGCTTGATTGCAGACCATGAGATAAACAAGGATATCTATGCACATAAGTAACAGCAAATGGCGCAATTGAACACCACAAACGAAATAAAGGTCTGGATCTTCATCCCTCGTCAACCCCTACGGTACTTAGGACTGTTTTGATTAAGCAGTGATATTCCTGGATAAAACACGATCAACTCCCGAACCTTAATTTGCAGTGTGTATAGGTTGACATACAGACTGCTATAGGTTTGGAAGGATGACCGACGCCACGGCATTCTACAAATATTCTATAAATTTTAAGAAATATAATCATCGGGTAAATGCTACTAAATCTATAATGTCGTGAGCTGCGAAACTGTGGGTTTCGGAGGCCCTTTATAACCTTGTCGGAACAAAGATCCCTTGCGAAAGCTGTTGGGATATGCAATAGACCACAAGTGTTAAATTTCGACGGGGTGCTTTTCTGATCTCATGTTTGTACCATAACTTCGGACGCGGAACATCTCAACTCTCCAACCTTCGTTAATTGTTAGATGCATTTTTACAAATGCGCACAGCAACAAACTTGCTTATCTTTTGTGCGCTATTGTGGCCTCTCCCAGGCAACCGTCAGGTCACAGCGTTGGAAGGTGCGAACGGGCTCACAGGGCTTTGGCCTGAAGAGCTACATTTCAATCCAATTTATTGGCTGTTGCAGATGTAATAGAAGAACAGCTTATTGGCTGGAAAGGCGAGACTTATAACGTCCAGGTGGGTAATGCTCGGCCCAGCACTGCTGTTGTGCTCATCCACGCAGAGCTCGCTCCGCATACCCTTTTATCGTGTATATCAACTAGTTTGGCAACGGCGTCGACTTCAAGCCCACCATCTGCCCCACAGCTCCCTCTCTCCACACTCCCCCACACCGCGGCAGAAATCGGCAACAAGTCCTGGCCCAGGAAGCGGTCCATGGGTTGAGACAGTATCCTGGATGCCCCGGGCCTTCGTCTACCACCAGTTTCTGACACCCGCGGAGTGCGACCACCTGATAGAGCTCGCGACGCCTAAGGTGTGGGAGATGTGGGCTGAGATACGGGGTGGGAGCAGATCTGGGGGGGCTCAGGATCCGCCCTTGGATCCGCTCCGCCCGCTCCGAGTAGCCACCCCAAACTCTTGTAGGGGGGAACTTAGGACACGACTAAACACACACACACACACACACACAAGGTGAAGTGGAAATGTGTGCACGCGGGTATGTGCACAAACACACACAGACACGCACTGACAGACAGACACACGAACACACAGTGGGGGAGGCGGAACTCTGGAGAAAGGGAGAGCCGTGTACATGTGTACCAATGTGCGTATGGTGGCGTGTTATGTCCCCCCGTGCTCCCCCGCGTCCCCCGGACATCCTCCTTTTACACACACACACATACACACACATACATACACATACATACACCTCTGGTTATTTCTCCCCCCCAACCACCGTATATACATCTGGTATCTGCTATATTGGTCAGTGGTTCGTCTTACCCCCTCCCCCTCCCTCTCCCCCTCACCTTCGCTCGTGGTTCGTCTTAACATACACCCCCTCTCTCTTAATAACCCCTGTCGTGACTGTTTGGAATGCCGCCCTCCGTGGTACTGAGGTCCCGCCCCACCGCCCCACCACCGCGCAACACGCCACCATTCCCCCCTTCCCCCGCAGCTGGAGCGCAGTATGGTTGTGGGCACTGATAGCGACCTGATTGACGACATCCGTACGAGCTTCTCAGCTAGCATTATGTACGTCATTATGTGGGGGGTTTGGTAGTGGTGTTGAGTTTGGCGATGGAGAGGAAAGGAGGAATGGACCCGTCGTTCCGTTCTGGTTGGTTGGTTAGCTTTATAGTTGGTTGGTTGGTTCCGAACTCCACATCTAGGACGGATGATGGTGGTTGTGGGGGAAGTGGGTGAATCGGTGGGTGTTGGGGGGGAAAGAGAGTTAGGCGGGGCTGTGTAAGGGGGGAAAAGCAGGTAGGGTTTTTCCGTTACCTAAAGCTGACGTGTATACGAGCCTACCACATGCATGCAACTGCCAACGGGTGACCCTAGAAAGGGATCCCGCCTCATGCCCACTATCACCCGGACTGTCGTACTGTCGTACAGGTACGGCGAGACCTCGATTGTGTCGAGCATTGAGGAGCGTATAGCCCGGTGGACGGTGCGTGTGTGTGTGGCATGTGAGGGGTGTGTGGACAAATGTGTTTTGGCCACGTCGGGCCCTTCCGAGGGAGAGGCACCGGGGGGGGGATGATGGGGTGGGCAGGAGGATTGTGGGGTGGGGAGGGTGCGGCCGAATCCAAAGTCCTGATCTAAGCTTTTCAGGTGCTGCCAGCCTTCAGAGGGGGGAAACACGGAGAACAGTATTCTCTGGTCTCACCACCATCATCATCATCATCATGATGCAGAACGGCTGACTTTCATGCGGAACGGCTGACTTCATGGAACTGAACCTGATGTATTTCCGTACATCCGAAACACAGCTTCCCTCCCTAGCTGCCAAACCCCCTCAGGCGGCCCCCCCAAGGCCAGGCAGCAGCTGACAGACCTGCCCGCCTGACGGCCTCAGTCTCCTGCAGCACCCGCATCCCCCAAAACACACATACACACGCTTACCCGACCTCCACGCAACTCCCCTTCCCTGGGATCCGGATCTGATTCCCAATGCTCCCTTGTTTATACGTATGTATGTATGCATGTATTCAGCATCTTCCCGTCCGACATCAAGAGCCCATGGAGGTACGGCAATGCAACCATAGGAGGGGGCGAGGTCAGGGAAGTGGGAAGGGGGGGAATCGGGAGGTGGTCTGTCTTCCCCCTAACCCCCACCCCACACACACATGCACTAATGTGGGCTGTCCATGTACGCAGTATGTCTGTTACGATGCGGTTTATGGGGGGCAAGGGAATGGGGGGGACAAAGGGAGGGGGGAGGGGGGGAAGAGGGAGGAAGGGGGAGGGGAGTGGAGAGGTGAAGAGAGGGGGAGGGGGAGGGGGGAGGGGAGGGTTATAGGTTGTGGCACGGAAAATTAGGGAGGAGAAAGAGGTATAAGGGCGAAGATGTGCACGGGGGAAAGGGGTAGCCGGGGAGCAGGATGAAATTCGTAATGCAATGGTGGAAATACACATACACACATACACATACACACACGCGCCCACTGATCCGCGGAGGGGGTCTCTTATGAGGGGCGTCGCGTGCCGGTGCTATCGTTTCGGGGGCGGGGACTGCTGCTCCCCGGGTTCTAAGTTTTACCCCCTTTTCCCCAAACGACCGCCCGCCCCCCCGCTGCAACCAGGTGCTCCGGTACGTCAACGGTCAAAAGTACGACGCCCAGTAAGTAGTAACGTACGACATCATAAGCTTGGAAATTTTCATAGTCCCTTGTGCTGCACGGTTCCCCTCCTGACGCTTAACCCCCCCCAGACACACAAACACACACGCGTTGGGGTATGCGGTTAGGTGCCCCTGGCCAGCGTCAGGCCCGGATCGATATGTAACAGACACACCCACACACCTACACTCATAGACAGAGACACCCCTGCCTCCGCTGTCTCGACGATCTATTTGCATGCGTCTTGCCTTCGTACTCCTGCCTGTATGTATGTTGTTACAGGGTGGTTAACTTCGCCAGCGGCCCCCTTTCCCGGGGCAGTCCCTGCTCTCCCCTGCTAGAGGGGCACCCTAATCCGTCACCCCATCCGACTTCAGAATGTATTCGTTGGGTTCGGCAACTCACCACCAGCATCCAACCAAATCTAGCGGATCAACGGCGCATCAACTTAGTTCCTGGTCAGCTCGCAAGTTGATATTATCACGTCCTACACCGTCCATAAGATGGGGGGCCACCTCCCATTTCATCACTCCTCAAACACCCGAGGAGCCGGCAGGCGGATTTGAACCCGGGTCGACTGGGTCAACTGTATGTATGTATGTACTCCTGCCTGGGAATTTCACAGCCCCTGACATCCATACTTCCTATCTTCGCTTCGCCGCCTTCTCCCCCCGTCATCATCCCCTCCTACCCCCTCCTACCCCGTCCCTCCCACCCGCCCCCCACCCCCAGCTGGGACTGGTTTGATGATAATGAGGTGGCCAAGGCGGGGGGCAGCAACCGCATGGCCACTGTCCTCATGTATCTTTCAGGTGGGCGGGAGGAGGGGGGTGAGGGGAGGGGGTGGGGGAGATGAACCACGTGAACGAGCGAAGCTGATGCCAAGGATAGACTGATACGCCAAGGCATAGCTTACCAGTCGACGGTTGTGAAGAAGCCGTCCTCGCGATGATGTAGTCATGACGATAGCGGAAAATCGCCTACCTAGCCCACAAGTCTAAAAAGAATGCTGAAGGAAAGCAGGGGGTGGCCAGGGGCAGGGAGGCATAGCATGGCGAGCAGCACTGCACATCCCTTTGCCTGCTACAGCGACTGCTACAGCGACTGCTACAACTACTGCTACTGGGGGTAAGCATGGCCCAGCACTGTTCAATTGACTCTCGAGCTCCCGTGTCCTCCATTACCGCCCCTCATTGCTGCTGTTAAGGGCTCAGCGCGCCAGACACCTACCTACCTACCTACCTGCCCACCTAGCGGTGATCAGTTCCATCGCTACAGGACTTATATGTAACGACATGATCTTCTCATACTCAGACACACAGACAGACATATAGACATACATACATACAGAGACATGTGTATGTGGTGGCATGTCAAGGTGCGGTGTGTCACCGTCGTCTCTTCGAAGTGCCGCTTGGTGCAATATGGTGGTGATGGTGCTTTAGCGGCGTTGATGACTCCTGGTGTTACCGCTGCGGCGGCGGCGGCGATGCGTCCGCTTGGTGGTGTCGTATGCAGCATGTGAACAGGAGGGGGCGGCGTTATACAGCCTGTGTGGTGGACTACCCCGGGGAATTGGGGGTGGGTGAGCAAAAAGCTCCATGACCTACATTAATTACATTGCGAGCTGTAGCGTGGTGCCAAACAAAGTACTATTATAATAGCGCGCACAAGTCGTTGGGGCCTCCCCCTCCCTAACCCCCCTCTCCCGTCCGCTGGTGCTGCTGGCACTGGTAACAATGTGGCTGCGTCTGTGGTTTTTGATGTTGTTGTTGCTGCTGCTGCTGTTAATGTTAAGCCTCTTATTATTCCCTCCTCCTCCTCGTCTGCAGATGTAGATCCTGCAGCAGGCGGGGAGACCGCCCTCCCTCTGGCTGAACCCCTGGACCCGCACAAGCAGTCGGTGGATGGCCAGGGGTACTCGCAGTGCGCTGCCAGGATGGGCATATCGATAAGGCCCAGGAAAGGTGCGAGGGTGTTTGTCTGTATGTATATGTATATGTACGTGTGTATGTATGTAGGTAGGTTTGTGCGGTGTATCTGCTTTCTGTTGTATGTATGTATGTGCGTATGCATGTTCCCAGCCACGCCGTGTTGCGGAAAGGGGGGCGGGGGTGGTCACCTCCGGGGCGTCTCCCCGGGGCCAACGTCCGGCCAGGTACCAGTTTCCAGCCGCCATGTCCTCAACCCCATCAACACCAATACAACCATGAACCCTATAACCACCACCGCAACCACCACAACCACGCCCTCGCAGGCGACGTGTTGCTGTTCTGGGACATGGATCCCGCGGGGCTCATTCCCGACCGCCACGCGCTGCACGCCAGCTGTCCGACATTCTCCGGAACCAAGTGGACAGCCACAAAGTGGATCCACAACAAGCCGTACAGATGAGGAATTTGAGGGTAATGGTGTGATGCAGTGATCCGCCGAGCTAGTGGCTTACATCGCCAGTGGACGATGCCGTACCGTGTACAGTATTCATGTCTATTTAGAGAGTTCGTTTGCGTCGGCTGCATGAAAGACAACATTATGAGACGCATTACGGAGGCATAACGGTGGCATTACCGTCTCCAAATGAGTGTTATATTAAATTCATGATGATATGCTTATCGAGCTTAGATTTAGACTTGATGTCGGAGGTGTACCGCGATGGCATGTGGTGTTGGTTGTTTTCAAGCTGTTATGCTCCCGATTTAGGCGATGGATAATGTGATTGCCTAATCTTTAATTCCCAAGAGCCCTTTCTTCGGTGTGCGCGATCCATCCGCTCCACTTCACGCCCGATATGTTGCCGACCTATTCGGTGGCCCACCTCACGCACCACGACGTGTAATGCCAAACGGCACTATGCCATCACCTTGTAGTGCGGTAAAATGCCGTACCTACGGGGATTGGGGGCTGGTATTATCGCACCTGGGGAGGCCAGGCGAAATGGGGAACACTCCCCAAGTGCCACCTCTCCGCGTCTCACCATCACCACCGCCACTACCATCAGGTGTGGGTGGAAGAGGGCGGGGCGGGGTTGTGCCTGTGTTTTCCTCCCTTCCCCCACCCCCTTTCCCTCTCCCTCCCATCCACTACTTTTGACGCCATCACATCATTGGTATCCTTCCCTCCACTTTTTAACCCGGTAGTCGCCTTGGGCACCTCACTGCCCCTCCCAATCGGCCTGGGGGCCCAGCTCCACCACCACCGGCGAGTACTCGTCGTCGTCATCCTCCCCTAGGACCTGAACAACATACACAAACATACAGATATACATATAGATACACACACAGCAGATTGGGGGTTGTAGGGGAGCTGTGTCAGTGTACCGGGTAAGTGTAGGTCGGTCGAACATCGATTGGAGTAGGGTCGCCATGCTGGGTGGGGGGGTGGGGGGGGGGTGACAACAAGGGGGGGGGACCTTCCGTCCCAGGTGGGCACCTCCCTGCTCCTGGTTGACTTGGCCTCACAACCAGGAAAGAGAGGACAAGGCACATTTGTAATACAACACAACACAGACCAACACAACACAACACAGGCCAACAACAGCAGTAGCAGTAGCAGCTGAAGCAGCAGTAGCATCCCAAAGCAAAACAACCGCCAATACATCGCAAACACAACGTCCCAACACCTCAAACCAGCTACCGACGCAGCCCAAACAACCCTGTGCTGTGTTCAACTTCCCCTCCCTCTATCTCGCTTTTCTCTTCACCCCCAACCCCCGACAAGCCGAGTTCCAGACCCCGGGCTCTACGACCCCGTACCCCCCGTGTAGCCCACCCCGCCTCTTGCTCCAAGACCCACACCCGCATGCGCCGCATCCTCCCCCCCTCACGCACACATACATACACTCCTCCATCACCCCTCACCCTCACTTCCTCCACCCACCTCCACACCATCGAACTGCCAGCCAACCGTCCTGCTGAGCAGGGCACGAAGCTGGGTCGCCTACACGGGCCCCCGGGGGGGGGGGAGAAGGACGGGGGGGAAGACGAACCACGAGCGAGTGAAGCTGCTGCCAGGGCAGTAGTGTACCAGAAGTAGGACTGACCAAACGGCTTTCGGGAAGGGGGGAAGGAGGGCGGCGAAGGAGAGGGGGAGAAGGGGGAGAGGGGAAAGAGCACTTGATTTGGAACTTGATTTGGGGGCGAGCTAGAAGATGGCGCGCGGAGGTAGGGGCCTGGGCGCAAGACACGCAGCATGTAGGGTTTTCCCAATCCTAGACCTCCTTTCCCTGGGACTGCCAAGAGTTGCTCAGGTTGCCTAGCACGGTATGCACACACACGCACACGCACCCACCCACCCACCCACAGACAAACCTCCCCCTCCCACCCTCCCACCCCTTCTCGTCCATCCCCCCCTCCCCTTTCCAAACCCCCTCCACTCCCCCTCCTCGCACCTCGTACAGCAGCCTGCTATCCACCTCCCCCGGCTCCGCCTCCCGAAGCACCTCGAACCAGCTGTCCAGGTGGCGACGCAGGAAGCAGTCCCGACCCCCCCCCGCCAGCAACACTTCCTCAACCAGCAGGGAGGATGACCCGTGGGTCGCAGCAGCCACAAGGTCTTCTTTGCTCTCAAGGACACCAGCAGCGCTGGAGGGAGTTCGAAGGAGGGTAGAGGGAACAGAGGCAGCTGAAGAAACCACCTGGCTATCATACACACATACATACATACATGGTGCCCCATACATGGTGCCCCATGGTGCCCCATACATACATGGTGCCCCATACATGGTGCCCCATGGTGCCCCATACATGGTGCCCCATACATACACACATACATACATGGTGCCCCATACATGGTGCCCCTCTCGCTGGGGAGAGCAGGGAACTGCCTCGGGAAAGGTGGCCGCTGGTGAAGCTATACCAACCTGTAACAACATCATACATACATACATACATACATACATACATACATACATACATACCACATATGTGAGTACTTATGTACCGATATGTAGATAAGTACTCACATACGCAAGGCCTAAGACACAAAAAATATGCTCATATGCTACGGCGCGGCATCATAGCCCTGGAAGGTCACGGGCTCGATTCTGACAGGTAGAGCGGAAAACCCCTCCCTGGGCATTACGCGGGTATAGTTGCATTGGGGCCCCCTGCCGACGGACGGTGATGTTGAAGACCTGCTCGCCGACCGGGAGTGGAGTGAAGTTGTGAGGAGTTGACGCCGCCGTTGATCCGCCGGAAGATTCCCTTGGATGATGTTGGTGGTGGTGGTGGTGGTGGTGGTGGTGGTGATGATGATGATGGTGTGCTGTTGGGTGCAGAACCCGGAGAAACTCCTCTGACTTCACACAAGTCATCACTCACTCACTCGCACTGACGTCTGATGATGATGATGATGATGATGGTGGTGGTGGTGATGTTCCGAGGAGGGGAATCACAGCACCGGGGAGGGAGGGTGGTAGCAGGGACTGCCAGCGGGCTACTAGGGTAGCGGCGCGGCTGCACACGAGGGTGAAGCTATTATACCCCCCTATACTTCACACACCATACATACACTCGTACATACATACACATACACCATCAGCAATCGTGGGGGTGTCCTAAAGTCAAGCCGCGAGAAGAAAAGAAAGGCCACTTACCTTTTCTCCTTCGCGGCTTGACTTCAGAGAACACCCCCACGACCACTACTACCCCCACCACCTCCACGTAACCGGCACCAGGTACAGCCGTCGCCCCCTACCTCCCACACGGCCTCCCCTTACCCCAGCCCCCCTGCCCCGGGGGTGGGGAAAAGACGAACCACACACGAGTGAAGCTGCTGCCAGGGCAAGAGTGTACCAAACGTAGGGGGGGGAGGAGGAGGAAAACACACCTGTCAGCCGTGTCAGCCAGGGCGCATGCAAGCTGTGCCCTCAGCGCCGCCAGGAATGCGGCGAAGGTGGCGGCGTGGCGGCTCTTTCCCCCCAGCGCCGCCGCCTCGCAGTTGAGGAACAGAGTCACCAGGGACCGCCACTGGTAGAAGCCTGCGGGGCACGGGGGGGTTGGGGTTTTGTGGGGAGAGACCTTGTTCAAGGGGGGAAGTTAAGGGGGGTTGGGGGGGGGGGAGAGGTGAGGATACACACAGGTTAGGCACTACTGGTAAGGCACGGACCATTGCCCCCGGGAGATCCCGGGATCGAGACCCTGACAGTTGACTAGGGTGACTGGATGAGGGTGTCCCGAAATACCGGGGCAGGCAGGGTTTCGCAGGGTAGCTGCCACGGGTGAAGATATACCCCCCTGTCCCACACATCATACACACGTGTGATGTGCCGGTCCAACACGTGTTTCGCAGCACCTACCCCCATAGGTCTGCGGCTGGTGAGGAGAACATGCCGTACAACACGAAACACACACGGTGCTGTCGCGATGACAGCGTGACCCGCCAGTCAAATGAAAAAACGTGTCCCCCCTCGGACTAACAACTAAAACCAACCGATGCAGCTAACGGCTGCGCCATCGCCCCCAACTTACACGCGCTCTCACCCTCACCCTCACCCCACCCCCGCCCCACAACCCACTCACTTTGTAGTGACTGTCCGTACACGAAGGCGACGAATGCAAACTGCATCTCCCCCACCACCGCCGCCACATCTCCCCCCCAGCGATTGACCGCCAGCGCCTCCAGCTGGGCACTGCGGTCCATGTTGAGCGCGGTCAGCTGTGCGGCGGTGAGACCTGACCGGCAAGATATGCGGAAGGGGACGAGGGGGAGGCGGCGGTGCGGAGGGGGGAGTTGGGGAACGAAGGAACACACTTAGGCAACACACGAACCTTCAGACTCAACCCCCCATTCACCGCACGCAACCCCAGCCCACCTAACAACACCCCACCTCCTACACCCCTCACCTCCCCCTCCGACCAACACAGCAGTCCGGTTATCCGACCGTCCTCGACCACCCCCTCGACCACCTCCCAACCCCCCGCCCCCACTGCCGTCGAGTCTTACCTACCCCGGCTGTCCTTACCGCTACCGACTGCGCAATAGAGGCCCCCCCGCACAGGGGGGCAGTACACCCCCCACCCCACCCCACCCAGGACCGCCCGAGCCGCTTCCCCGACCTCACCGGGGCGGGAAGATCTCAGACGCACACATACACATACACACACACATACAGGGACACACACGGGAGCGGTGGCGCACCTGCTTCCTTCACCAGTCGAGGCACCACCGAGTAGAAACACCGCCCTGACGAGGTGCTGCTCTTCATGCCGCCGCCCTCCGTCGCTGAGGTACTGCCGTTATCCACTGAAGCTGTTCCTCTCGCTGCTACTGCTGCTGCTGCTACTGCGTGCATTGTTCCCCTCTCCAAACCCCCTCCCCCTCCCCCTCCCCCGCCCCCTCCGTCCTCCACCTCCATATCGGAAGGACCCGAGGTGCGGTCCCCGGGGGCGGACGTGGCGGCAGTGGGAGGGGGTGGGGGAGGGGGAGGAGGTGGGGCCTCAGGTACAGCAGCTGGTGGTGGTGGTGGTTGTACGGCAGCAGCAGCAGCTGCAGCTGCCTTGCGAGCTGTACGACCCTCCTGCAGATCACACATCCACATCCACAAAAGCATTCCTGCATCTGTATGCCCACATGTGTGCCCCGACATTCCTTGGCATGCACCAGGTTAGGGCGGGTGAGGGGCGGGTGAGGGCGGGGTGATGAGGAAACACACGGAGCTGGCTAGGTAGGTAGGTAGGTAGGTGGGTGGGTACCCCCATCCCCGTTCAGGGCCACACAAGCTGCCGGACCTACCAGCAGTTGCTGCCGCAGCCGCGCCTCCGCCTCCGTCCTGGGCCGACCCTCCACCCCGCCCGCCCCACCACCACCACCGTCCTGCTCGTCCAACTCCGCCTCTGCTGCCGTACAGATGTTCACCCCCACGGGCTGGATCGCGTCAATAATTCGCTCGTCCAGGCAGCTTGTTAACTCCCGCCACTGCCGCCACGCGTGGAGATTGTACGGCGCCAACCCCCAGTCAAACTCGTACCGCCGTACACCCAGCGCGTAGCGCTGTGCCTGTGGAGGCGGGTGTTCACGCACAGAGCCGGGCAGCGGGGTTAGGCAGGGGGGAGCCCCCCCTACTGTGTTTTGACTGGGCTGAAGGTCCCTAGGCACCCACGGGTACGTGTGGCTGTCGGGGTTATAACCCACCCTGCAACCCCGGCCCCTTCACATGCGCCTCATTCGACATACACGTTCCTTAACTCAGACTGCGGTGTTTAGTGCTTATTGTTAATATCATGCAGCTGAGGAGCTACTGTCACTATTTGATGCCCCTGGCCCCCTAGGACGTGCTGCTGCTGTTATCTGGCATTGAAATGGATTCACGGAGCTCCCCCCTTTCCTCCTTCCCCTTCCCTCCCTCCCTCCCCCTCGGCCCCCTCCCCGTTCTCTCGCTTCCCCCATCGGGACTACCAAATCCCGAAAAGGAAATGTCGTTAATATGCAACGGTAGATTGTGCAGTGTACTTTGATGGCCTGTCTGTGTACTATTCGCCATCATCCCAAGTGATGGTTTTGGAAATGACCCACGGGTCCAGAGGAGTGGCCCTGCACCAGCAGCGCACCTCTTCGTCCGGCAGCTCCACCAGCAGCTCCCCAGCAGCGTCATACTTCCGTACGATGACATTGTCGGTGGAGACTTCTCCTGCTGCTTTGCCAGGCGCAGCCTTGACATTGAAGAAGAAACCGGTCACCGGGCTCATACCGCCGCCGCGTTGTTCCGAGCCGGGGACGCTGTAGCACACAAAGTGAGGTCCTGGAGGCAGCATTTTAACGCCACGAAAGCGGGGACCGCATCGGAAGGCCTGTAGATGAGTTGGATGGGACGGTATGGGTGGAATGGCGAATCGTCGGGTCGCAATTTGCCAACGCCTCAGGCGACATACATAGCTTATTCATTTCAACAAAACAATGAAATCCAATTCATAAGCAGTAAGTATATGCATGAAAACGGGGTTGTACTTGCCGGGGCGCCGCAACTCCGGGAGATCAGTCCCGTAAGCGCCCTGAGAACACGGCTTTCATATTGGGCTTACCATATGATCAATACCAAAGTATGAGCCCTCCGGAAGGCCAAGGACAAGTAGCGCACCGCCTTGGTCCGCCAACTGCTGCGCGACATCAGCCTCAAGCTGCACTGTATAAGGCACACTTCTTGCCATAGCAAGTTCTTTGTTGATTATCTGATTATGTACAAAAGATAAGGGGCTCTAATGGAAAAGGATAGAGTCCTAAATCGCCACAACCTGCCCTTCCAAAGTTGCGACTTTCCACTCCCAACACATTGCCAGTCTACCCGCACGATAAGCTTTCTGTACTTCGTGAGATGATAGCAAAAATGCCGCTTGCAAAAATTGTTGCTGCTAAACAGGCTTGCTGAGTAAGATTGCAACTACTGCAACGACTACGTTGTACGATTCCCTTCTGTAACCAACGGTAGATTTTGACAGCGGAACCCGACGGTATCTACCCTGCGGTAATCTCCCTCCTCTCATTTGTCTGCTCTTCTTAACGCGACCCTGCTACTTTTGCATACTTCAACAGCGCCAGCGCCACCTCGCCAGCACCCGTCTGAGCCCCTGCTGCCTTTCCTCATACATCGTCCTGCAGCTACCTGTACGGCCAGGAGGTCCCGCGGTGGGCTCAGGGGCTCTGACGAATCAGACATCTATTCAGCAACAATTAACTCATTGGTCCGCCGTATGAAGACCTGGCTGCCGTATCTGCATCATGGTCTTGCATGTCTGTCTCTTATCTGTCTTTCCGTCTCTGTGTGCGTGCATGTGTGTGTTTGTGTGTTCAACCGAGCCCAGGCGCGAGGAGGAAGCAGCGAGGCGGCTGGCACACAGGAAGTCGTCACCGGTGCAGCAAGGGCTAGAAATAGCTGAATACAGGCCGGGGTCGGGGTCGGGCGTGTTGTGTATAGGGGCCAGGGTGAAGTGTTGTGTATAGGGGCCAGGAGGAAGTGTTGAAGGTAAACCGATGCAACACGGAGGTGGGAAAGGGGAGGTCGGTTGGGCGCATAGCCCCTCCCCTGTCGCCTAATTCCCCGTACGCACACAACGACCTCAGGCCCCCCGGGAATAGGATACCACTAATCTGCACACAAACACTATTCGTGATGCGGCAGTAAAACGGCGCGTACACGAACACGCACCCTCCTCTCGACTGTCGTTGATCCTCTGTTGTGGTCATTGCGGCTCAGCGGAGATATCGGCTCGAGAAGTGCCTCTAAACGTGCGTCCAGCTGCTTTTACATTCTGAATATATACGCCCCGCTCTTCGAGGGTGAAAGGCCGTTTGCGAACTTTGCTTTAAAGCGCTGTTTCAGCGCTCCAGGTGGTTTACAGTTTTGCGGATTCCCTTCACAGTACCCAGACAGACAGACAGACAGATAGACAGACAGACAGACATCCACCCTCCAAACGGGTTTGCAACTGCCTCCTGACCAAGGACGGCCGAACCTAGCTGTACGAACGTGCGCAACGTAATGTTTACGTGCACCATCACGGCCGAGCTGAAAGACGACACCAGCACCAGCAACAACAACAGTCCCCTGCCGACCTCACTTCCACTTGTTGAAAATCGTACAAACGTACATAACGGGCTCTCTCATTCCAGACATGTACGGCACTTTGCGCAGGGACATTCTGAAACGCCGTCCCCTTTTCTTCCATCTCCCTTATCTTCCCCCCGAACATACATACACACGCACACCATCACCCACATACACCCCCCCTTCTCGCGACTCCCATCCCCTCCCCTACACACGCACACCTTCGCAACACTGATCCGACCCAACACGCACAGTCATTTATTGATTCACTACGCCCGCGCGATGCAATGTATCTCCGAGGGGCCCCGCCACACTACCTCCATCCACTCCAGCCAGAAACCCGAGGGACATGCGGTGGCCTCCCCCCCCCCCTCCCCCCGTTACCCCTTCTTATGCCTCTTTGACCTTTTGCATGGCATTACAATCGGCCCCCCAACCCCCACCCCACGTAGGAAGCCTCTTGGTGTGTGTGGATTCGACTGGGGGTGAGGGAGGTCGGCTATGCGGCGATAAACATACAGCACATACATTAAGGAGGGGGGACGCGCCAGGAGGAGGGAGCGGCGGCTCCCCGTCCCGCCCCTCCTCCTCCCCCGCCACTTTCTCCCTCCAGTCGACACCAAATTTAACCCAACCCACAGACACACCGCCATCAAACACAACAGACACACACACACACATACACACGCACGTTCTCTTCCCCTCGTTCAACATTATTGGCATTCCTCGATGCTGCACCTGAGCCAGACCCGGCCCTCGAACACGAAGCGCCGCCATGCCGCCTCGTCCCGGTCGGGAGTGAGGCCAAAGAAGCCCCACAGCCCCACGGGACATGCGTTCATGACGTGGTAGCTGAAGCTCTTCCGCAGGCTGTAGCTGCCCTCACCCAGCACACCGGCGTCCTGTCGGGCGCATACCGTGGCCTTGACCTGTTTTTTGTGTGAAGGAAGGAGGGGGGAAGGGGGGGAGGAGGGGAGGGGCGGTGATGGGTTGAGCAATTATGAAAGAAGAGGGTTGGGGGTTGAAGGGACATTCCAAGAAGCAAGGGGAGCAGGGCTCGGGGGGCAGGGGGGTGTGCATGTGTGCATGTGTGCGTGTGTATGTGTGTATTTGCATGGAGAGAGGTCTGATATAGTTCGCCAGCAGGGATATAAGCATGTGTCTGTACGACTGTACAACCTCTTGCAAGTGCTGTGCAATTATTATGATGACGTGCGCTGCCCCGTCTCACCTTTCCCTCCCTCAAACACCAATCTAACCCCCCGATAAACATAGCTGCATACCCCCTCCCCCTCCCCCCCCACACCACACACACACACACACACACACACACATACCCCAACACGCACGACACGTCTTCATTGATCCTGAGAAATAATAAGCTTTAGATTATTATGCTCAGACACGTTACTCTCACACACACACACACACACTCTCTCGTTAACCCCAATTACTTCCACATCCAAGCACCCCGACTACAAACCCGCCTCTGGTCCACTGCAGCATCACCCTCCTCAACACCTTTCCCCCCTCCCCTTCACCCCCTCCCCCTGCTCCGGTTGTCGTACCTTGACACACGGCAGGCTGTGTTTTTTTCCCGCCAGCTTGACATTACATGCAAGCCCCATGTGCTCCCGATACTCCGGAGGCTGCAACCAAGGGGGGGAGGGGGAGGGGGGAAATCATACGAAGCGAGGATGGAAAAGGTTGAGAGGGGATGGAGAGGAGTGGGTGAATAAAAGGGACTCGGACATGAAGGCGCAGAAATACAAAACGCCCCGGTTGGCATGAGGTAGGGGAAGCTGTGTGATAGTGTGCAGAGTGTCACCCAACGCAACCGCCACCTGACGTCCAAAGCCGCAAACCGCTGGAGTACATATAGGAGGTGCGGAGGTGTATAAGGCCCTAGCCTAGGGGAAAGGGAGGGGAAGTGGCTCCAGTGGTGGGGGGGGCAGGGTCCGAGTGGCGAAACCCTGCCGGACCCAACAGCCCACGAGCACACACCCAGAATTCGTTTGCTCGTCCCAACTGTTTGCTAAGGATTATACGATGACTATCTCTGGACCCTGACCCTATCCCGGACCTTGACCCACATTGACCTAAACCGTAACCTCCTTTTCACTTGACTCACCGACCCACGGGTCGGTCGCTGGTTTCCTACCTACCTGTGAGGCGTCCAGGTCGTACCGCAACCACCAGTGGAAGCCGCCGAAGAACGCCGGCTCGCTCGTCACGACCTGTCGTACGATACACATATACACATACACACACAAAGAGCATGTGAGAAGTGGCACGGAAGCCGCCAAAGGGGCAGTAGCAGCGCCAGAAAGCAATGGGTAGGTGGGGATTGGGGCAACTATCCAACCCCACATATCAATACACACCGCCGACAAACCCCCCGCGCACAACAATGGGGAGCTTCTCGGAGCGGGTGGGCATAATCTCTCTTCCCCCCCCCCCCACACACACACACACTGGCGCCCCACAACTGCATGAAAGGCCCCAAAGCCCCTAACACCAACGTAGTAATTAGGGTAAACCATCGACGCAGACACACCCACACACATACACGCACTGGCAAGCAATCCCCAGGCAATCCCCGCTACCCCCCCCCTACCTGCAACGACCTGGTGGCCCTGGAATCGGCGTACAGCTGCTGCAGGGTGGCGAAGTCAATGGACCAGTCAAATGTGACTCGCTGCGACATGGGCCGGGGACGCGACACGAACACCGGGAGGGGGGTCTGCGGTGGGGGCGGTGCAGCCGCCGCCTCCACCACTGCATCCGGTGCTACTGCTGCTGCTACTGCTGCTGTTGTTGTACCACCTGTACTACCCAGCCTGCTATCCGGTTGTTGCTGTTGTTGCGGCGGATGGTGTCGGTTGGGTGTGGGTGGGTCGGGCTGTAGCAGCGGCTCTGGCGGTTGCTGTTGCTGTTGCTGTTGTTGCTGGGCTGCCGTACTGGTGTTCAGTTCGAAGAAGCGCTCGGCGGTGTACACGTCCCTGGTGGCGGCGTCCGCTCGAGACCAGGACAGGGCCAGCAGCAGCCGGGTGCTGTCCAGAGCGGAGATCAGCCAGGGGATCTGTGTGTACGTACATATGTATGTATGTATGTCGTTGGTTGTGAAGAAACGTAGACATATGGGTGATACGCGGGGCCAGGGAGGGGCGAGGAAGGGGGAGACAGGGAGGGGGAGACAGGGAGGGGGAGACATGGGGGGGAATTTAGCCGGGAGGTGTATCCCTGCATGGCTGCATGGGAAAGCTCTAGGGCCCGAGGGACTCGACAAGATAAGACGATCTATACTTAACACTCCCGTCTTCATCGGCCCCCCCCCCACACACACACACACCGGCAGGTACTGTAACTGAATCCTCGTCCCATGTCGTAAACAGGTTCAATTGCCGTACACGAAAACCTGCCAATGTCCGTTCACGCCAAATTGCTCCAAACATGCTAGATATAGCAATAAAATCCCCTGTGCCTGCTAGAAACTACCAACCAGGGGAAATTTTCAGACTACAGAATTTTGCAGAAAGGTAAGAATTATGGGAAAGAAATATCGGAGGCTCAAAAAAACTGGTTTAAACTAATAAACAAACACTTACCATCGGCAGTATGTACGACAAGTAGCTGTGTGTGCAGTGCTGCAGCCGCAGTAGCGCTGCCAGCTGACGGCGCTGCTCCAGGGAGGCAGTGGAGCCCTCGGGACCCGCCACCCACTCCACCAGGGCGGCCACGGCCGTGTTTTCATTCCACACGCGGGTTTCGGAGCTCTGTGCGTGCGTGTATGTGTGCGTATTGTTGGCAGATGTGTGGGACAGTGGGGAAGGGATGTGATGCAACAGAAACAACGACTTGAAACTGCGGAACGCCGTACACGTGTGTTTGTGTGCATGTGTGTGTGTGGGGTGGGTGGTTGGGTGGGTGGGTGCGGGTTGCGTGACAGTTAAACAATGCATCCCGCATTTAGCTTGGCAAAGAAAAAAATAAAGTAAATAAAAACCCAACACCCGTACATGCTCGCATACATACAACACACACACACACACACACACGTACCTGCAGCAGCAGCCGTATGGCCTCGTACGGCAGTCCCAGCAGTTGGGCCCTACGTGCCGGACAGTCCATGACCAGCTCCAAATCGCCCAGCTCCGAAACCAGCTTTTCCACCAACTTAGACAGCGCACCTTTCGAACGGGTGTTAAGGCGGGTGTGTGTGGCCGTGATGCAGAAGGAAACACAAAATCAGCTAACCACGTCCCCGAAAAGGGGATTTCAGTTGGTTGGTTAGTTGGTGGGTGGGTGGGTGGGTGGTGGTGGAGGAAGGCCCAGGAAGGAGAAAATGAATCCGTTGTGTATCAACCATCACATATCCCCGTGTATTGAAGAGTCGGGGCTTCATGAAAACACAATACGGCGGGTAGCTGTACAACTACGTACTGACTGGTTGGTTAATCGCAACCGTAACACCAACTGCAGTAACCGCCAAGCCGCCGTTGGAAAATGGAAAAGCCCGTTCCGTTCGCCTTGCCAGCTCGCTTACCGAAAAGCTGCAGTGCCGAGATGTACGGCAACACGAGAGCAAGAAACGAAACGACGTCTTGTGTTCGGCGATGTGTCATATGTTCCGCCGTGTCCTTCCGATCCCCTAACCACTAACCACCACTAACCACCACTAACAGAAAAGCGGAAACGCGGGGATTTGAGGCGTTGGGACAAATACGTTTACGCGGTTAGCTTCCTCTTGCCTCTGTGGGCCTTATCAAAGCTGTCGTTTTCTAAATCCTACGCGGTTGGAAGAAATTTCAAATACAAAAACTGAATATGAAAAAGGAAGAGAGGAGGGGTAAGCGTCGTACATAGCGAGGTAATCTACCGCGCGCAAGCTGGGGTTGGGATAGCAGGATGCCGGTTGGACTACGGTTGATTGATTGCAATACCGTACCGTACAATGCAGTACAATGCAGTACAATGCAGTACAGCTCAGCAATAAAAGAGATGTCTAAGTACTCACTGTTCAGCGCCCCGCCCGCCAGCAGCACCTCGGGCAGTTCGTACAACCGAAGCAACTGCTCCAGATACAGTCCCGACAGCGACAGCCCCGCGAATGCCGTATCCACCGCCGCCAGCAGCCGCCCCACCGCGTACTGGTCCGCCAGCACCAGCAGCGACAGCAGCTGGGAGGGGCTGAGGCCGGGCGGCAGGCGGCCTGCGGGACAGAGCGGGCAAAGAGCGGGGGGGGGGGGAAAAACACTACTCACATACAACACGTAATACACTGATATGTAGTGTATGATGTGTGAAACAGGGGGGTGTATCTTCGCCCGTGGCAGCTACCCTGCGAAACCCTGCCTTCCCCGGTATTTCGGGGCACCCTCATCCAGTCACCCTAGTCAACTTCTCAGTGGATCGCTCAGGTTCCGCACCCACCACCAGCATCCAACGGAATCTGCCGGGTCGACAGCGGCCCAACTCCATTCCTGGTCGGCTCGCAGGTTAACTTTATATATTTAGTGTATATATATGTATGTATGTTTTACTTTTACAACACATTACCACTGTCGAAGGCCCCCCCCAAAAAGCTATTAAAGCAGCTCCACGTAGTTTTAGCCACGGCCCGGGGCCCCTAGGCTTTCAGACCCCGACAACCCCCACCCCCACCCCCACCCCCCTACCCACCCCCTCATCCCCCACACCACACCACACCCCGCACCCAGCAGGGTGTCGCCCCTCTCTCCACCACCACAGAACTGACTACAGCACTAATGGATACTACACTACACCTCACCCATGTACATAAACTTGAGCATCATTTCAGCGATATCGACGTGGTCGGCATCCACGAACATCTTCAGTACGCCACGTCGGCCGCCGCCACCGCCGCCGCCGCCGTCCCCTGCCGCCACGCTGTCAGTCCAGTTCTGCAGAAGTGTACGGAAGTAGTCACTGGTCGCCGCCAATACGGCAGCGTGGACCGGGTACACCCGTACGGGTCGGGGACGCTGCGGCGGCAGCGGTGAGGGTCTCGCGGTGGCGGCGGCGCCGGCGCCGGCGGCGGCCCGGGTAGCGGCGGCGGAACGGCACAGGTTGCGGGTGGTCGGTGCGGCTCCGCCGCCGCTCCAGCAAACTGCGCCGCCGTCAAGCCCGTCACCGGCGCCGCTGGTCCAGCTATCCCACCGGCTGGCGGCGCCGGCACCGCTGCCGCTATACGGCACAAGTTCTCTGGCAGCAGCAGTGGACTCGGCTTCGCCGCATGGCAGGGTGTCATCGTCGGCAGGCCAACGGTTAATCGGTTCCAGAGCGTCGGCAGCTTCACGGCCGCTTGCCGCAGCGGCAGCGGCACTGCCACCGCCGCCGCCGCCGCCGCCAGCGCTGCCGTCACCTCCGTCGTCATCAAGCTCTAGGTGCATTATGGGATCGTACAACACGGCTGCAATGTCCTGATGCTGCGCCGCCGCCGGCGCGGAATGTGCCCGTGTGAGTCGTGCCTCCCCCGCCGCCTCCCCATCCCCCCTCGCTTCCGTACACCGTGATCGGGCAGATGACGCCGACCCGCAACCTGCCGCGTGCCGCCGCGCCGCTGCCGCCGGCAGCTGACCCCATTGCGGCGAGGAGGAGTAACTGATACCCTCCCCTCCATCTCCTCCACCTCCTGCTACAGACTCCCTTTCCGTCGCCGCTACAGACATCGCTGAAGTGCTTGATAATGCCGCTGTGGCGGCAGTTGATGCTGCTGTTACCTCCCCCGCTGCCATTTCAGATTCGGTGCCGGCTGCGTCCGGTTCCGCAGCGGCGGCAGCGGCGCCGCTAGCAGCCGCCGCCGTCACAAGTGGCGACGCCATCTCACCATGCCGACGTTCGCCGCCATCACCGCCACCGTCACCGTCACCGCCTGCATGTCCTGTAGGTCCTGCGGGCGCACCACCTACGCCATCACCGGAGAATCTCGCTGGCCATAAGGCCCGGTCGACGGCACCGCTCCGCCGCCTCCCGGCCGCTGTACCACAGTAGCCTGCGGCGTCAGCGCCCCCAGCAGGTGCCCGGCGACCGCGTCGCCCGCCTTGATCTTCCCCGCCCGCCCCTACCCCTGCCCCTCCCGCGGGGCTTGTGCGCTCGTCTGACCCCGGGGTTAGCGGGGCCGCTGGTGCCGTCGGCGGCGGCGGTGCCGTCGGCGGCGGCGGCTGTGGCGACCGCTGGTCCCTACTAGGTAGCGTATCGACGGCATGCCCGGTGGCGTGACGGCCTCCACTGCCACTGTCACTACCGCCGTGAAATAAATCGTCGGATGTGACAGGCCGCTGTGGTGACACCTCATCCGTAGAGGCTGCTTCTGCCGCCGCCGCCGCCGCCACCGCCGCCCGTGTTGGCGCCGCGGCTGCAGCGGAGGCCGATGACGGCCCTTCCTGGAGCTGTTCACCGGTCGCTGAACCGGCGGAGAGCAGCCCGGGGCCTGATGGCGCTGCCGCCACCGCCGCTGAATTGCGGGCAGTCGCCGTACCTGCACTGCTGCCGCTGACGGAGCGGCTGCCGGAGGACGGCGGCCGCCGACCCGTGGGTCCGTCTCGCCGGCCGACGCCATCCCTCGTTGCCGCCGCCTCTGTTGGAGCCGACAACGACGCTGCCGCAGCTGGCGGCCCAGATGACTGCTGCGACGTTTGTGGTGAAATGGTGGCGAACGACACGTTGTGGACATGGCCATTCGCGCCTCGTTGAAGGCCGCCGTCACCGCCGCCGTCACCGCCAGCCCTGGGCGGCATCATCACCGTAGTATTGCCGTTATGATGACCGGCCATGACCCCGCTAACACGACCGCTCCGGCTACCGCACGCAGCCCCTGCCACCGCTGCCGCTGCAGGCGCCACCCGGCGGGATTGCAGACTCGTGATGCGCATGTTTCGACTTTCGCCACTTCCGCCGCCGCCGCCGCCGCGACCAGCTCCTGCAGCCGCCGCCGCCGCTGCCGCATTTGCATCCACGTCATCATCTTCCCCCCATTGCAGCCTATCTGCGACCGGGGCTGCCGCCGCTGTCCGGCCATCAGGATCGTGCACTGGCGGTGCCACCGCCGCCACCGCCGCTGGCGGCGGCACGGCTGGCGTGCATGCTCGCTTTATGGGGCTGGGTGCAGTCAAGCCGGAAGAAAGCGCCCCCTCGCTGTCTTCATCCCCCTCCTGCGATGTGTGCAAGACACATGGCAACCAAGATTGCAGCGAAAGAAACCGAATCCAGTTTCGCTGGCACAAGCCTTCAAGAATACTAAAAACTGCCAAAATCACTGTATGCTATAAAGAATACTTTGGTGCCAGACGTTGCCAGACATTTCTTGCACGTCTTCTGAAGGATTAATTGGATTTTCCCAGCGCTCCAAAGTCAAACGCCGCAAACCCTTCCGCGAATCCTCCTTTTCCTTTTTCATACAGCTAATTGCTTACATAGGTACTCGTTGTGCCATAACGGTCTCTAAAATCTCACGATCCCATACCTCGAAATACCCCTCGTTTACGGGTAAACGCGCTACGGATTGGGCTTCGCCATCCCGTTATTTAGAGGGCTCCAAAGGAGTCGCCTGCCCTCCTAATCCTATTCCTAAAAGCCAGGCAAACCGCGCGGTTCCCATGCGCCCTCACAGCGGTCCGGTTCGAGCGGAACGTCACGCTGACAGGTTCTGCAGCTATGCAATAGTAGAACGAAAGTCACGCATCTCCAGTCCAGGAGAACGCGAATCCGCTGCGCCGGCCCATGTCGCTTTTTGCTATGCCGTGTTGTCCCTAGCTAACATAGCTTAATAAACGTCACGAAAAGGTTGACGCCCACATACGGCTTTGATGAGCCCGTCTTATAGCCTAGTTTTCGAAGGCGCCGGCGCCCGCGGCTTTTGCCGCGCACCGAGAAGATACCCCACTTTATTCCGCAACCCAGTTCGCCTCCCGACCTGCTGTATAGGAGGATGGACGTGCAGCTCCAGGACGAAGTCGGAGAACTACATCATCATCATCAGAGGCACATCAGGGAGAGTTTTTTAAGGTTAAGGAAAGTGCGCGAAGCAGTATTCTTGTTGCGATAAACGTCATCACACGCAGCTGCCCGATCCCGGTCAACCTGTCAAGCAGCTGCACGTTCGGCAAGATATGGTAATTGTGGTGCTATGGGGACAGGGCTTGAAATATGTCCAAGAGACCACAATTTCCTGTGATATCAGCTGAAAACGCACCTGGTAGTTCAGCCATAGCCAACCAAACTGCAGGGCACCATCGTCAGTTCCCGACGTGGTGTTGCTCATGATGTGTCTGCTACCAGAGGAGTGCTGCTAAGCTCCACAGGAGAAAGTCAAAACGCAAGTGGGCAGCAGTGGAGGAAGAGGTGAAAATTGCCTCGGACAAGGTGAAAAGCTCGGACGGCGTTGAAATGTAGCAGCCTCGGAGACAGTACAACTCTAAACATGCTTTTCATTATAGATTATGTTGCATCGTTACAGTATTTAAGTTTGGTGTCTCTTGTTGTCGAGGTACAGGTCCACTAAAATGATTGAGCGCGTCCGAGGCCCATGCCGCGCTCACATGCCCCCATCATAAGCAATACCGCACCCGATTGGCGTGACAAAAATCAAACACATTAAATACACCTTTGCACAACGTAAGCATCACATGTTCAGATGCATCCTGCAATCCTCCAGCGTACATTTAGTGGGCAGCCGACGTTAGCGGCCCATGGGTCAGTGGCGCTTGGAAGTCCCTTTATTGCCTCCTAGAGCTTCTGTTTAACCAATATTTTTAAAACTCGAATCAAACAGGCAACATCGGTTCGTTTGCTTTACAGGGGCGGAGGCGCAAAGTCCCCTGCAAGCTTGTAAAGCCCCACAGCCGGACCAACGAAACGAAATAGAATCCAGCCGCCCAGCAAAATAAAGACGGATGCATAAGCAGCTTTGTTTGCCCAAAATAGGACGCCGCGACGACCAAGATACAGTTCCGTTAGCTTTTGCCCCACGCCCATAGACTCCCAGCCTTCAGGAAACAGCTGCCCTTCCTTCCATTCCGCCATATTTTCGTACTGGCTGTCAATCTTTCGCTGCTGTTGAGAAACTCCTCGAATTGGAATGGGCTTCATAGCCTTCCCGGGGGAACCACCAACAGACGATGGCCGGGGCGATGCAGCTTTTCCACGTATGCTTGCCTCCAGCCGCTCCAAAGAAGCTTCCTTACTCTTCAGACCTGGATCTCCGCTTGAAGACGGCTCATTATCAGATTCTCCTGCCCGGCAAACACGCCAGAGCGGTCGCGCTTTCAAGGATGTCCCCGTTGCAGGCTGGAAGGGTGCTACGTTCCGCAGAATGTTGCACTGCTTTGTTAAGCACACATGGGCCATGGTTCTTCCAGCTTGCGGTGGCCTCTATTGACGTCGCAGATGAATACGCAAGAATTCTTTACACTGTAGAAACAAGTTCTGAGGGATGTTGCGTTGGCAACATAGTTCCCAAATTGCACCTGCATGGGATTCGGAGCTCGGTACTACTATGCAAGGAGGTGTCCTTCACACTGTAGCGACGATTAGTGCTGCAGGCTTTCAAAAGAGTATTCAGCGAATAAGTCATTAAAAATATACTAATTCAACAATACCTTGGCCCGTTTGAAGCTTTTCCGAGCAAGATGCGTGGTCAGATCACTCGAGGTATCCTTGCCCTCTTGCTAGCGACGTCACTGCTACTGGTGCCCATTCGTGCTGACGATGAGGAAGGAGTAATTGATGATGATGAGTATGCCGACGTTCAGCGTGCACACCTAATCGTCCGCAAGTTTGTCAAGGATGAGCTCGTTGTGCAAGGAAAGAACGTTACTGTGGAGATTGACATCTATAACTCGGGATTGAGGTAAGGTATCCGTAAATTACGGCTGTAAACAGCATGCAAATGATCAGGGGCATCTGCTGCAGCACTGCGGATGCAGTCAAGTTCCAGGATGTGCTCCCAGCCGAAGCCTCGCTTGTGGAAGGCTCCTTAGAAGCGGATCTGGGTAAAGTTTCTATTGGCAGCCACGTCAAGCACAGCTACGTTATTGTGTTCAACACCGGCAGCGTGGAAGTCACTCTGCCGACGGCGCTTGTTACTTACGTGTCTGACTCTGAAACCAACGAGGTTACGGTAAGTTGGGTAGTACAGATGGGATGAACTGTGCATGGTATGTGCCGTGTTTTGACATGAATATCTGTACGTTTCGGTACTCTGCAGGAGGGTGCCTCCACAGCCATGGCGCTTTACGTTATGACCCCTGTCCAGCAGCTGCAGCGGTACGCCCTCCAAGCGGTACGTACGAAGAGGGGGGTTACAAGCCGGAAATTACCCGAAAGCGACCCTCCCGGCGGTGTTTACAGTCGATGGTTTCTATCCGCTGGAGATTGCGTCCCCGCTAACCTGTGTGGTGGGCCGTTTCCCGAACAGGGTGCTTATGCGAGCCTCGGGTTCGCCCGTACCCCCTCGGACTGGCGCAACCTGGCAATCATCATTGGTGTCGTGAGCAGTCTCCTCGGTGGCAACTGGGTCGTGAAGAAGGTGCAAGCCTCAAACGTGAATCGGAAACGTGCAGCGGCTCTACGGGAGCTGGAGAAGAGCGATTAACCCGTGGTTTCATTATCGTGTTCACTTCGTGAAGCCCGCTGGGTGGTTTCTAGGAATGTATTCGTTCCGGAGGGAATTCACTGGGCTTTCGTAATGACGGGTGGATGCGACGCAGATGGTCGTTGTTAGGTAGGGGCGTATCATGGTTTTACCGTAGCGCGAAGGATTTGGCAACAACAAGCAAACGTGCGGTCGAGGAAGGGCACAGTTTACCTTTCTTATGTGCTTGTGTTTAAGGGCTTCTGACGTGGGCGGATTGACCAGGGAAACTGTATATACCAAATTGATAACGGGAGGTGTGCCGGACTAGACGACTGCAACAATGAAAATGTCTCACGTGCACATATGACATCGACGTCCAGACGGTGTTTTGGAATGACATCATAAGAGTCATGATAACTGAAATTATTAAACATAATACAGACGGTGCACACGACGGCGACCGATCCATGTTGCAATTACCAGCTCCATAATCGAATCCGCAACAAGCATCTTTACATCCTGGCAGGATGGTTAAACGAGCCCATGCAGCTCGCTCCTATTTCCCGAGTCCCGGCTTGTTAAAAACTAACATCTAACTGTAATGCCAATTTGATGCGCGGCTATCAACCACCAGCTCAAGCACCTCTACACTTCCAGCGCAGTAACACGTCGCAGCTTGGAACTCCGTACACTGTCCATATACTTAACCCCCGTCAGAGCCAGCATCAAGCGAGAGACAAGTTGTTACTTTACACCGAAACCCGAACCGTGCGAACCATTCTTCACAAGAACACAGAAAGTCCATCACCCGCCCAAGGCGGGTGCCGGCTGTACAGGTGGCGGCGTTTGTGCCGCAGACACCGCAGCCGGCGGTGGGGCCTGCTTTTTAATGACGCTCAACTCCCGCTCGCCTACCTCCCTTATGCTCTGGTTGGGATAGCGGATCAGGTAATCTAGCGCAAAGACCGTGGACGGGACTGCCAGTAACAGCCCCCACACCCCCAGGTTGTGCTCCGCTACCAGCAGCACCGACAGCACCATCAGTGGGTGCAGCTTGAGGTGTGCCGAGTAGATGGCCGGGTTGAGCGCGTAGGCCTCCACGAAATGTACGAGCGCCACCATGATAATTACCATGGCCAGCTTGACAAAGCCGTACTCGGTCAAAGCCACGAAGCCGATCGGCACGGTGGAGATGATGCAGCCCATAATGGGGATGAACGAGCAGAGGAAAACAAAAAGCGACAGCAGGCCGATGCCAGGAATGGCCAACAACCACATGCCCGCAGCGGTTAACGCGGTGTTGACCACCGCGATCTGGGCCTGCAACGCGAGAATGGGAATGCGGAATATGTGTGAGCGAAAAGGTGGTTGAAAAAAAGTAAGGAAGCGACACCGACGGGAGCGTCCTCACCCACCCGCCACCGCCCTCTGGACAGTAGCCGGCAGCTCAGCAATACGACCGATTCCGCAAAGCCAGCTCTTCCCGCTCCGCATATCTAAAACCCAGCTAAACCGAGCAAACAGCCTAAACCCTCCTTCCCCACCATCCCCTACGCTCACCTGAACTTGCAGTGCCTTTCCGAACAGCTGGCCAAAGACGGTTAGTACGGGAGCGACCTCGTTGAATACGGGCGCCAGCCGCGAGTGCCGCAGCGTCGAGATGCCACGCGATATGGTGGGCATGTCCCATACGAACAAAAAGCCCAAGATGAGACTCACTAGCGCCTGACGAGGGAAGGGGCGTGGTGAAGGTGGTACGTAAATGGTGGCGTCCTCGAGTGTCGAACGGGAGGGAGGTCGCCTAAAGACACTGGTGCTGCGGTGCATGGCCCACACCCTCTTCCCACGGCGCTTTCCCACACTAGCACTTGGCGCTGCTCCCCAATCCGTCTAACAGACGACTGCCGCCACCGGATTGGGGATGTGGCAGTTTGAGGATCCAAGCCCTAAATCCGCTTGTCCGCCCGTTGCCCTCCCTTGCTTTCATGCATACTCCCCCCCCGCCAACAACTGCGCCCCAGTATTGGACCGGGCCGCTTCTGACGCAACCCTGTTAGCCTGCACCCCGCAGTCCGCAGCTCGTCAGCAGGCCCTCCTACGAAAATTCAATCCCGGAATTTCCACCAGCCCCAGGGCGTCACAGGGAGTACCTTACACCCGTCTCGAGCCTCATTCTAACCTCAACCCACCTGTCCCCTCCCGCGCCCTGAGCGCATCACGCCCCCTCCCTCCCCTAACCCACCCCACCTGCAGGCTAAACTTGGCTACCGACTTCAGAAACACGGCCGTGTACTTAGCGGCCGTGTTGGTGTAACCCTTAAGCATGGACGATACGGCCAGACCAAGCTGAGTGCTGCGCTCCGCAGACCACACCTAAACACAACGCACAGGGTGTGGGTGATGCACCATTTGCAAACGTTGAAGCCCGACCGGGGGCGAGGTGGGGCGTGGCGGTCGGGGGGTGGGGAGAGGAAGTCATGTCGAGGTTGGAAAATTAGCTTGTGGATGGGCAGACAGACAATTTCGTGTCCTGGACGGCGGCTAGGCGGCAATCAAGTCCGGGTTCCAAGGCCCCCATCAAGAATGCTGACATCCCACAGATGCCTCGTGTTGCTAAGCCGTATTGTGTAGCATGGAATACGACCTACACCCCACAGGTGTCCCATTGGCATAGCTCTTAACGTCCCATTCCCAGCCAGGGACCCTCCACCACACGCATGCCTTCTCGCCCCAGGACCCCTGCCAGCACCAGATGGAAACCGTTTTGTTGGTGTCCTTCCCTACAGACACCCTACAACACATCGGGGCCCACCCAGCCCTACGCCCCGGTCCGAAACACTGCCTCTGTCAAGCTCAGTTTAACATTGCCACAGCACGCGATGCCGACACCTGTCACCATTGCAATCACGCCGTGCGAGTAAACGATAGCTGCCATAGCGCAACCAGGTAGATAGAACGCTAGCAGTCTTCACTGTACCGCCCGACGAGGCCCATCCTACTCCTGGCCGGTCATGCTCGCTACCACTTCCACTTCTGCTGGGCATGGTGTATTATAGTATAAGCTTTTGCCGTTCCCCTAGGCCCTAGGTTGATATCGCACCTGTGGCTCCGAAACCGACACCGCCGCTGCTGCTATGTCATTGCTGGTCGCCAGGTACACCGCCTTCTCCAGACTGTTCATCACCTGGTCTCTGTTCTTAGGCCGAGGGCGGAACAGTAGGTAGGCAGAAGAAGTTAGGCCTAGCTTGAGACGGCGCATAGGCGAGACCGAAGGTGCCGATGTGGGTTTTGCAGCATATGTCGGGAGACACGCCGTCAGGGGTGGATAAGCGGACAAGGGGTATATGGCGGCAGCTGCCGCCGCCGCTGCCGCAGCACCCACTCACAAGACTGGTTATGCTTCATGTGAACGAACGATTCCTCTCCACTTCACCCTAGGTGCGGCGGCCGAGTCACACATGACCCGAGTCGCACATGACCCGAGTCGCACATGGCAACATCGGAATACGTTATCAACTCACAGCTTTGTTGCCGTCAGGACCCCAACAGCACGAACAAGGTTCGATTTTCATACATGCCAGGCAGGTTAGCTGCTGTTCAGTACTCAACACGAGACTTGCTAGCCTGATGTTGGTGGCCCACCGTGCGCTGGGCTCCAGCGGACCATGGCCAGCACTCCGCGGCACACACCCCTTAACGCCCACCGCTCTGGTTCGCCAATAACCCCACTTTAAGCACTCGCACACAGCCCCTGTGCTTCATGTTTCCTAGTAGCCCTAGCAGCTCGGGGGCTCGGGTAACTATTAGGTCACGCGTGTGGAAAAGCACGAAGCAGCAAGGAGACCTTGCCCCACGTGCTTACCCGACACCGTGACGCATCTTCTCTACCAGGATAACCTGCGAAGAATGCCGGCGGCAGCAGGCGTGGACGGGAGCACAGAGGGCCAGCGGTAAAGGAGTTTTGGTTCATGTGGTATGAACGCGTGAATTGAAGCACTGGTATAGATAGATAGATAGATAGATAGATAGATAGATAGATAGATAGATAGATATAGAGAGAGAGAACAGGGCAGATCACACTCTGCACGTGGTAGCTCCAGGGGGGAGTACAGATGTGGTTTTCAGGGGAGACCCAAAATGTCATGCGATGGAGAGCGGCAATTGCGGGTTTCTTTCGTTCTTTCGCGCGCCTGTACCAAGGCGCGGCCGTCATGCGGCTCGCCGTGCGCACTTGCTCGAGCAGCAACCCTCCCTTTACGCGGGTTGGCTATGCCATATAGTCGCGATGCCGTTTGACGACAGTTGCAATAGAAAAGAAGGGTGCTGTAGCAGAACAATCGCGCGCAGTGGAGCTGCTTGCCTCCTGCGGGCGAGCGGGTCCCTTAAATGTTACCCACCGTTGCAGTGAACCAATCCAGGACCCTCCATCTTCCAAACCGAACCCAACACCCCCTGACAACCTAACAGGCCTAGGATTCGAAGCTCTCCCACGCCCAAGTGCTAACCCTTGGCCTCCCCTTCGGGAGAGAAGCAGCGTGGTACGTGTGCTGGCGCCGGGGATCGCAATTGTTTCAAATCACTCGCCGACCATGGGATGCCTCACCCAAATGTTGTCGCTTTGCAGCCTGTTGACGAAGTCGGCACCCTCCCGCGCGATGTCCGGGATGGTTAGGACACCTAGAAGCGTGAACACGCCCAGGATCATAAGGAAGTACAAGAGCACCAGCGCCTGCCGTCGAAATGTCGGCTTTGGGAACAGCGACTGCACTAATGGTGCCTCCTGAGCACCCTCTACAAAAGAATTTCCAATGAAGGACACGATAAAAGTCCCCAAGACCATCTGCGGCACCAGAAAGTAGCAAATGCTGAATGAGCCCAAGGCATGTGTGTGAGTCAGAACGACACTGCAACGCACCCCAGCGAAGTCATGAAGCTCGTATGCTAAAGCGGCCGCAGTTCCCCAGATAGCGAGCTTCTTGAAGGGAATGGCATTGATCAGCGCCTGCAACTCCGTCGGTGCGGTGGGTACCGATGCCGTGGCCGCTGGCGTGTCTGGCGAGCTGGACTGCCCGGAAAACGCGCTACATCGCACATATCGACTTTGACGGCATGTTCGATTCCGCTGGGGAGTCCCGAAACCTGTTGGAGGCCTGACGTGTGTTGGTGCAAATACGCAAGGTCGTGAGTGCGCCAGCAGCGGGCAGCCGCCTTTGCAGGCGAGCCGCCTCATGGGCCTGGAAGGCCTAATCCCGTCTGGTGATAGCGTGCACAACTCCGTTAACCGAATAAAAGGACCCAGTCCAGTAGGTGACGTGTGCATGCGGTTTCTCAGTGTTCTCTCTTAACATAGGTTACATGTATGAAACATATTTACGATCAAGAACGTCTAATGGTTGGTACTCCGCTGCGGGATTTCGTCCAGCATGGGATGCACGACTTTGCATGACACAGCACGGCCGTTTCATAAGTAAGATAGAGGACCCGCTGTTCTTGCAATGTTACTTAACCTACTGTGTAAAAGTTGCTGACAGAATTTACCTCCTCGTAAGCCACCAACACGTGAGGCTTTTCTCTGCGACTTACTGGATTGCACGCCGCTGTTGGAAGCCGTCCCGGCCATGCCTAAGACTGTTGGATTCCAATGGGAGCGTTATGAGGCCTGGCGGCACCACCCGCTGCTGAGGTGGAACAAGAAGGACTTCTTCCCTGGGCTAGGCCTCGGTGTGGCGGCATACCTTCTTTACGTGGCGTACGATAAGTCGCAGCCGAAGGAAGAGCATCACTGAAGTCGTGTTGCAATTTTTACTGTTCGAGTTGGATTGGACGGGTTCACAGGTTTGTCGGAGGACATCCCGCTTGAGGCATAATAGGGTATTGCAATTTAACGGACAGAGATATCTCAATGGCGTTCATGCCGTAGAAAGGAACGCTGGAATGGTGTAGGGTGCCGTGCTCTGATGGGCTAGGTTTGAACCGTTGAAATGTGTATGAACCATTTGGTGGTGTAACTTTTACATGATCTGTAGTGCATAAGGCGTCGCTGACGCTCTGCGGATGAACGTCACACCGTTAAAAAACCCGGATACTGCCACCATCTGTCCATGCCTCCATGCTCTCATAACCGCCTAGCAAACCAAACGCATCGACAGCCTACACGTGAGCAACACGTATGTGCCACATCATGGCAGAGCTGTTCACCTACGCACTACGCACTTCCGTGACGCGATAATGCTCTTAAACACGGTGGGGAGGCGGCAGCCGCGGCCGAGTCGCGTTCGGAGGCCACGGTGATCACGCTTGAAATCCTCGACTGGAGGCTCTTTGGGGCCGGA